GCCCAGGTCACCAAAGGTCACCAAAGGTCACCAAAGGTCACCAAAGGTCACCAAAGGTCACCAAAGGTCACCAAAGGTCACCAAAGGTCACCAAAGGTCACCAAAGGTCACCAAAGGTCACCAAAGGTCACCAAAGGTCACCAAAGGTCACCAAAGGTCACCAAAGGTCACCAAAGGTCACCAAAGGTCACCAAAGGTCACCAAAGGTCACCAAAGGTCACCAAAGGTCACCAAAGGTCACCAAAGGTCACCAAAGGTCACCAAAGGTCACCAAAGGTCACCAAAGGTCACCCTTTGGGGATGACGGATGACAAGGGGAGCCGAAGGGGACAACCAAGCCTAGACCGTACTTTTGGCTTTGTTGTGAAAAATGCGCTCGGTTAAGCCTTGTTTAGGTATGTAATTAGCCGTAAGGCGCTCATCCCCTTCGTGGATGCCAAGGAAAGGGCTTAGCCCTTACGTAGAAATCATTCGGCCGAAGGCCGGATCGTGCTATGGGCTTTAACTACGAAATTAAACTTAAGTGACTAGTTTAATTTTGTTAAACTAAATAAAACTACACGGAGGCCGTTGGCCGCGAGGTGTGACGGTGTGTCCCCCTTCTTCCCCTTTAGTTCCCCTTTAGGGGAAGACGTACATCCCCTAAAGGGGAACTAAAGGGGAACTAAAGGGGAACTAAAGGGGAAGAATAGCTACATTGTAGGCCTAGGCCGTTAGCTGTCGTCCGCAGGAATACTATTAGCCGTAAGGCGAATGTAATTATATTACATTAAATTACACGGAGACGCTTGGTCTTCTTTCCCCTTCCCCTTTGGTTCCCCTTTAGTTCCCCTTTAGGGGATGACTGATGACAAGGGGAGCATCCCCCCCCTCTGGGGTTGTCCCCTTTAGTTCCCCTTTAGGGGATGAACCAAAGGGGAAGACAAGGGGACGAAGGGGACAACTACGTTTAATTCTAAATATAATTATAAAACTTCAGGTGCTAGAGACACTATTTTTGTAAAATTCTTATCACGTAGTTCGCGTGCAATAGGACCAAAAACACGTGTACCACGTGGATTTCCTTCTTTATTAATAATAACGGCAGCATTATCATCAAAACGTATGCTCATTCCATTTTCACGACGAATCCCTTTACGTGTACGAACAATAACAGCTCGTACAATATCAGAGCGTTTAACAGGCATATTAGGTAAAGCATCTTTAACAACTGCAATAATTACATCTCCAATATTAGCAGATTCACGATAACTACCGNCAAGTGCACGGATACACATTAATTCACGAGCACCACTATTATCTGCTACATTTAAATAAGATAAAGGTTTAATCATAAGTAAATAAAAAA